TAACTGATTTATCCAGAATTCCTCCACGTAGAAGCAGTTCTGCCGCCCAATTGTAGTATCCACTAGTCCATGTGGTCAGAGTGACCCAGCTACACAGAGCTGCAGATTTTACATGACTGTGTATTCCCTTCTACTGCATATTGTGCAGTTTAATATATTTTAGAAAACACAACATGTTAACATTTCTGCCCCGAGAATCATTAACTAACATGTGGCTTCAACTGTATTTGGACCCAAAATGGAGGTTTTCATGGGTCCTTGGCTATTTCATTTCCACACTATGCTGGTTACCAGTTTGAGAGATGATCATGACTTGGAACTCAGAGAGAGGAATTCTTTGAAGAATGGAATTGGAGGATTTAGGGATAGAAGTTTAATTTAGTAAAGAATAATAAAATGAACTGGAATAACAGTTGTCAAATCTCTATTCCAGGGCTTTGCTGGTGCCAAAGGAAACAAAGGAGATATCGGAGAACCAGGATATAGGGTAAATCTACCAAACCATGTCTTGTGTCTCTATTAGAGCAGAGGGTAAGGGCCTGAGCACACAATTTCTCAGTGCACATAAGTCCATTAAGGTCACTGGGAGTTTTATGCACAGAGGTCTTGCAGAACTGAATCCTAATGTAGTAGTGTAGACTTAGCTCATACAGAGCCTGATTGTTTGGAACCCATATTTGCATTGGTGAACCCTCACACAAGTAGTCCCATTTAAATCAGCAAGACTGTTGGCAATGAGAATGTGCTCATTAAGGGATAGCCCACAATGGGTACTACATCTGCCAAGTAGTACTGCTGCAACCAGACTTCAAATACAGGGACAGAGTCTCCTACTTTTACTCACCTAGTGTAATACCTTACTCCAGAAGTAGTCCTGTTGATTTCAATGGAACTACTCAAGAAGTAAGGTACCACTAAAGATAAGAGTGACCGAATTTGGCCCAGAGCAGTGTTACCATTACTAGAAGTGGTAGGCTGAGCCCATAGAACTGGCCTATGTATTAGTTCCCAAGTGTTGTCTACTATTTAAAGTTGTTACTCCCTCAAAAATGAAAAGAGAATTCAGATCAAAAATGTCTTGAAGCAACCAAACAATCTCTCCTAAACAGCAGAGGGCAGGTTTCTGACTTAGGTCTGCATGATAGATAGATGTGTGCTCAGCCAACCCCTGTGTGGATTTCATGTCATTATCTACATATAACAGGGTTCACTCACCACTGGGGTGCCCCCTTGTGGCTGGGTCAGGGGGTCAGCTCTCATCCAGTCTAGTGTCCCCTTCCGTTGCTTGCTCCATGGCCCCTCTCACTCTCTAGGACTCACAGTGCTTTCCTTGTGACTCAGCCCACCAGCCAGGTCATTATATAATTTTACCCCTTCTGGGGTATCAAAGTCCCTCAGAACCTACTATCCATTTACTGTCCCT